TATTTCAAATTTTGGAGCTTGTAATTGTAGATTGTGAGAGTTCAGAATTTTTTCACTTCACAATACCACAATTTTTACAAATTTTTTTTTACCGTTATTACACAAAATAAATAAATAAATAAATCAGAACGGTCAAATGACCGTTCTGATCGCACAAGCCTGCAGCAGCAGGCGCATGAAGCGTTTTTAATTTTAATTTTTATTTTTTTAACGGGACAGTGGTTAACCGTTGGCCCGTCTCACCTTGAACAGGCCCAGACCGGTTCAAGGTGCGGGAGGCCCACGATTCGGTCCACACGGTTCGTGAGCCGAATCGCGGGCCGGTTCGCCTACGGGTGGGCCTGGGCGGCCCGCCCATGTTTACATGACTACTTCTGTGTATAATTGCCTTGTCTTCCCTTCTCCTTATAACTTCCCTTTGCAAAGAGTGTCATGGATTCATATGAAGATCCTCATGTCGATATTTCCCTTCTTTTCTCCTCCTGTTGTACTAATGAATAGACTTCATTCAGGCTGGGAAAATGTTTGATCAACAAAATTTGTGCTTTAATCCCTTTAAATGAATCATTCAACCTCATCAAAAATTTCATAACCCAGTCCCTTTGTTGATTCTGAACCACTACTCTCAAACCTCCACAGCTACAACCAGGCACAGCTTCATAATTCATTAGCTCATCTAGAAGAGCTTTGAGCTTTAAAAAATAGACACTCTCATGGGCTTGATTTTGTAGTAACATAGTTATTGCATGTTTGATTTCAAAAATTCGAGGTGCATTTTGTTGAGCAAAATGTTGTTCCAACTTAATCCATAACTGGTGTGCTGTCTCAGCGTATGTGGTGCTACATTTGATGTCAATAGCCATGGTATTCTGCATCCAGGTAATCACTAGGTCATTGCAACGCAACCAGTGCTCCATCAGTGGATCATCCGGGCCTGCAGGTTCAGTTAAACTACCATCAATGAATCCTAACTTTTTTTTATGCGCAATGCCCTTTTGATTGACCGAGCCCATGAGTGATAATTATTTGCATCCAAGATATGAGTGACTAGCATAGCTCCAGTATTATCATTGTTCCCAATAAAATACGGACTGTTTGGCTGGGCAGGATCATGGTTTACAATACTGGATGAACTTCCAGTTTGATTAATGTTTGGGTTTTTTGCATTTTCAGGTTTGGATTCTTCCAAACCTTGCTCTGATACCATTTTGAGAATGTAAAAATCAAAATAATTTGCTTGAAGACTAAAGAGAAATGGAGCAGGGGAAACTGTATTGTATTGGATATTTCTTACTCTAATGAAATGTACAAATTGGCCGTTGTATATATAAGCACTATAGGCCATTCTAGAAGGAAAATACATACAATATACAAATAACAGAATGTCTAACAAATTCTCAACTAATGCAGAATTCCTCTTTCCCTTCTTCTAGATAATTCCAATTATGTTGCTGCTAAGTTGTTCCCATTTGCTGATGTGTCTTCAATGGCTAGCTGTGTTGCTTAGCTGTTTGGTGATTCCTCAATTTAATAGCTTTGTCAACTTCCAACATGGCGTCCATCCAATTGCACGCATCATGAAAAATTAAAGTTGTCGTCAATTTTAATTTTTTTATGATGTGTCAATTTGAACAATAAAAATGAACAACAGATCTCAACTTATCGGATATGCTCTTAATAATTTAAGCATGTTTCTAGAGTCAAAAGCTCATTATTCATTAGTCATTTCACAAAATATTATGTAGTCTCACAGACTTGTACTGCTGCCTCACAAAGTTCGATATGCCTTGCTGACTCGACATTAATTCAAAAAATCAAAAAGAAACTTGAAAATCCCATCAGATCAATCAACGACAAACACCATCAATATTTCCCTTCCAGTGGGCCCATCATCAGCATTCCATCCTCTGGTCATACCAAACTCTCTTTGTCGTCCAAAATTATGGAGAAACAAAAAAAGTAAATGCCGTCCTGAAATCATATGACCCCACAACAGGGAAAAAAAAAAGGTTCCAAATCGCAACAATGAAAAAGGAAAAACTTAATTTGAATTCTGTACTGTTACTGCCATTGCCTGCTTTCTTGCTCTTCCAATTTATTCATATATTGCCTTGTATATGCAATTATTTAGTCCCCCACTTCACATATAAAAGAAAAAGTAAATAATTTTTGAATCCCAAGAAATGAACCCCCCATTTGTTTTCTCTCTTGACTGACTGATTCTTCTTCTGATTTTTTGTCACTTTATTCCTTTTCACTTTCCTATTTAAATTCACATATTTCTCTCTGTACTGCACAAACACAAAACAAAATGAGTGATCTTCACTCCATTGCTTATAGCAGCAGCCATAGCTCTTCCCTAGCTTGGGAATTACAAAATCTTGGAGTTTTCAACGCAGACACACCTCAGTGTAACTACAGTACTACTTTTCTCTTTTCTTCTTCACCTCTCGTTTTCTGTACTGCATGATAATGATTTTTTAATATTACAATTTGATTTTTGTTAGTGATGATGGAGAACACCCCACCATTTTTTTCATCTCTTGAAGCTGATTATTCAACTGGGTATTTGCAAGACGCTTTGTTTGAATTCAGCTCTAAACGAAGAAGATTGCTTCTATTTCCTGAAGATATTCGCACCGAAGTCTGCAACAATTCAATTGAGGTAATAACAAAAGAATTGATTTTAGATTATGATGCAGACTGCAGTACAGACACAGTGGTGTAGATTCTGAAAACTCAAATTTTGTTCAGAATTCTTATGAAAGTTATGATGCATTCAGCCAAATAAGCAAGTGCGATAGCATCAATCCAGGTGATTAATAAAACTCTCTTTCTTTTTTCTTAATTATGAATGAGATTACAATAATAATATTTATGCATGTGTTTATTATTATATGTATATTTTACAGGTATGAGCAGATCGCTGAGCATTATGAGTGAGGATGCATCACTTTTCACTGACATGAAAACATCACAAGAGGCAATCTCAGCCTTTCAAATATATGATTCTTCATCACTCAACACTCAACCCACATCTGATAAACAATCCCTATATTCTATACAACCCATAGTTTCTTCTGGTAAGTTGGTTCGCTCGTCAGTATTTTCATCTTTAGTCGACCTGGGAGATGATACTCTAGTAACGCACATTAATTTCAGGTGTGGGCGCGGGTGGCGAAAAGAGATCAAAGAAGAGAGTGATAGAAGAGGTTGTGTATCCCTTCGATTTCGTTAAACCAGGAGGATTTGAAGGGGACGTAACATTAGACGACATAAATGAGAGAATTCTAATGCCTCCGAGTAGGCCAGTTCGACATCCAGTCGGGGATTTTGCGTGCAGGCCATTAGTGTCATCTGCTGATGGCCTGGGTTTATCTGGCAAGGCTGTGGTGGCACTCACCAGAATTCACACTCAAGGGAGAGGTACAATCACAATCATCCGGACCAAAGGTTAAGGATTAAAAATTACGTATGTTTCTTCAGTAAAATAGATTTTGCATCAATGACTATAGTGTGAGAATTAAGGAAATATATGTGATGGAGAACAAGTGTTCATTTGTTACAACCACCACATGACTTCTAAGGTAAATTGGAGAAATTGGATAGTAACGTGTACAAAGTTTGTTGATATTTTGTAAATATGTACGAAATGAAAGGGTTTGTTCACGTTGGAATTTATCGAGCAATTTTGATCAAATAGGAGAGAAACCGTAAATTATCGTAATATATAAACTACTAAACTAGAACATCGCAAGTATGCTCGATCACTAGAAAGTGAAGGGACGAGAAGTAGTCAAAATTACGTAATGCTTAAGTCGGCCGTATTGTTGTAGCTTGAAGATTGAATTTGATAGAGTTTGCATAGGTTTTAATTTATTTATTTTTTTGGTCAAATTTGTGTTTAATCACACATCCATTTGAATAAAAATTACTTTTCACAAATTCGCTTATCAAGAAATTAACATCAGATGGGGGTTAAATGTCACAGCTCGTCAGGCCTCGTCGAATTCACGTGTGTGGACTACCATCCCATAATTGAATTTTTGTACCAACTAAAGTGTAATAATTCAATAATATGAATGGTACAATTTATCAGAAATTTCACAAAAAAAACACTTGTGTTTGACGTCCGCACAAAGCATATTATTGGAAAAATATTCAAAAAAAAAAATGTTGGTGGTCCCAATCGTTTCTTTAAAATATAATGCAATGAAATTTCAATCATACTACATCTACATTGTGATTGAAATCAAGATTTACACTCGAGCCGTGCTATTGGGCTCTACTCAAAGCCGGCCCCTCGGCGCCCTGTTTTTGGAGTCGGGCCAAGAATATTTTCCCTTCACACTCTTCTTCTACGTGGTTACATTTGTACCATTAATTTTGACGACCACCATCCTATCATTGTTCAGATTTCTTACACATTGGAAAGAATACGAGGGAAGGTATCGAGGAGAATATACGTACAACATTATTCGTGAAATTCAAGGTAGGTAGGCAGGCTGTGTTATTCGATTATTTTACTTGTCGTTTTCTTCATAGGTCAATAGAAGTTGGTGCGCGCATAATAATATTCTATACTATTACTGGTCTCAAAACGTAATAATTATGTATTGTGGGGTAGCTTCTTAGGGATTATCACGTGATTAGACATCTTCATTTATCATTGTGCTTATGAAAAAAGTATTGAGAAAATTATATACTTTGAATATTACAGAAAAACCCTTTTTAATTTTTGAAAGTAAAATTGAACTTAAGGGTGTGTTTGATCCACATTATTTTGGAAGAATGTATTTAGTAAATTGATGAAAAATTGTGGTTGAAAAAGAAGGAAAAATTATTGATGTGATGAAAAATATTACTTTATTGAAGAATATGTGGTTGAAAATGAGTAAAAGAATGAGAATGAAAATTTTAATGTGTACCAAACAGATATCTTTTTTTTTTCAGTGAAGCTTCATTTTTCATTTTCTGAATTATGATAATAATACTTTAATTATGTAAATATTTAATTTTCTTTCTATATAAAAATGTGCTTATAAGCACCCTTTTAAGCAAACTAAAATTTTGTCATCCCAAAAATTTTAATTTTA